AGTTGTTGATCACCAGTGAAACTTGCAGCCAAATCTCAGCTGTTGTCAATTGGACAGCAGGATTTTTTTGGATGGACAGCTGAAGACATTTTGAAGTGGACTCAAGTGTCAAGCAGTGTGAGCTATTTGAACATTAAGAACGAGTGCACCAGTTTCTAAAATGAGTGCACAAAGTTTCCTCCCTGAAAACTTTTGCTATGCTAATCGCAGTCTGCATCTAGAGGTGTGGGGATTTGCAGGTTTGGGACATCTGCAGAGAATCATAGAATGGCTGGATTGAAAAGGACCACAATGATCATCTAGCTGCAACCCCCCTGTTATGTGCAGGGTCACCAACTAGCAGACCAGGCTGCCCAGAGCCACATCCAGCCTGGCCTCTAGGGATGGGGCATCCACAACCTCCTTGGGCAACCTCTTCCAGCGTGTCACCACTCTCTTGTGAAAATTCACTTTTCTCATCTCCTGGTTCTATACTAAGGAAGATTTTTGAACAATGATGTGTGGGGATGAGTGGATATGACAGCAAGAATTTAGAAAGACATCTAAATATGAGAGTCGTCTGCTTCAGCACATGATGATTGTGCCTGATGAAAGCCCTGTGGCATTTGTTTGGCTGCGTAAGCCCACAGTGTTGATAGATATATTTATTTTCCCCCTAGTTTAATGCAACAAATGGTGAAGAGATTTTCATTCTACTGAGGCATGCAGGGCTCATGCTTACAAAGGTTTTAGTGTTATCTCATTTGACTGATGAGAAATTACATATGCTTTTCTGGTGCTTTTGAAAGGCTTCATTTGACTTGGAGAGATTTTTCTCCCCAGTATATGGCATTAAATGAACTGCTTTATATATTCTCCTTTATTTCTATATTTCAGAAGGTTTCTACATTTAGTAGACATAGTGCTCTTTGTATATAGAGCGTATTAGCAGAACTGGCTACACTGTTATACAGATCTTGGTCACAGAGTTGGTATCAGATTGTCTTGTTTGCTTATAATTCTTACAGATACAGCAATAAGGGAACAAGTCTAGGAGACAGTTTGAATGCCTGCTTAGCTGAGCTGTAATGGCCTCTGTGCCAAAACCTTCTGAAGATCTAGAGGACAAAGATGCTGTTTATCGCCATTTAAATGTTGGCAGGCTGTTTTGTGCAGTCCTGGCTTAAGCTGGATTGGGAGAGCAGGAAGATGTTCCTTCTGGTCATCTGTGATGTGACAGCATGGGTGAAATTTCCTCTGTAGGTACTCATTTTACAACATGTTACAATGAAATATTATAACTACAGAAACTATCAAGATAGGTGCTAGGTTGGAGAAATAAGCTTAAATCAATTTCTGGCATGGATTTTGAGGCAAACAGAATGCTGACAAACAGTGGTACTGGAAATTAAGACAGAAGCAAAAGCCTCTTAAATCAAACCTCTCTGACAGAAAATCCTTGATGACATCATCCTTCAATGATTATCTGTTACGTACAATTCAGCTAATTCTTTCTATCTGTAGTTGTCTAAAATGTTAAACATGAACTTATAATCTTTGTCTTTTTTTGTGTAAAGGCTGTAAAATCGTGGCAGGAAACAAATATTTATAGTTATAAGGAGATTAACCAAATATACTTACTTGCCAGATGGTCCACAATTACCAGTAATATTGTTATGAACTTACCAGTGTGGCTTGGGTTCAGCCAGCAGCATTGTCAGCATGAGTGAATGTGTTAGGCTGACAAGCTGAGTCTACCGCTGTACTGTTGACATTTGTCTGGATGACTTCTATTAAGTAGCAGAGCTACAATTATTTCCAGTTAGTTCAATAAATGTAGCACTTAAAGGTAGTTCTGTATACATACTAGGAGGTTGTGTTCTTCCATATGTTCAGTTTTCCAAGTGCTGAATCAAAAAATAACTGGAAATGTGGGTGGTTAATCAGATTGTGCCAGCTCCTGTATTAATCACAGATGAATTTCAAAAATGTATCATCATGTACATACTGATGTACTCTGTGTAATAACGGTGGGGTATGAGTCTGATATGCTTTAAAATGGCAAAGCATCCCCAGTGAAAGCAGTATGTCTGTACTATCATGATGCCTTCTGTAAATGCCACACATACTCTTTAAACCTTTTGCTTTTGAAAGCATTGTGCATCAAGTTGTTGTAATACCTTGCCGCTATCTCAGCAGAACTGTGATGTCATGGTGAAACATAAATATTACAGAAGTACAGTGAGAAAGGACTGATGTGTTAGGAAAGCCTAATAACTTTCATGAGAGAGTTTTTTTATAGTCCTACATCTGAACTGCCCTTCATTCCTGTAGATCTTCACGACATTCTTAAAACTCAAAAATAACTGCAGATCTGTATCAGAAGTTCAGGTTGTGCCACAAGAACAGAAGATGAGAAGAATAGATAGGAAGACAAATATTTGCATTAGATCATGAGCATGGGCTTTGTGGAAAGGCAAGTGTTCTTGTAAGCAGATTTTGCACAGAAATTCAAATGAAAGATGTATTCGTTAAAGTTAGAATACTTTGTCCTTTGGAAGAAGGATGGTGAAAGTATGTTGGTAACTGTTAACTTTCTAGCCTGCATGGACAAAACTGAAATGTAAAATGGAAATGCACAAGTGGTGAAAGCATGGTCAGTAATCCTATTAAGATCAGGACAAGGATGGGGTTTGGCCGCTCTGGAGTTGAATCTGGCAAGAGACAAAAAATCTTGGCTGCTCTTCTTATAAGTGCATTAGCAACAAAACAGACTTCAGGGAAAAGGTGGGTCTGCTGCTCAAAGGGATGCTGCCCTTGGATAGAGGACGTGGAAAAGGCCAGTTTTACCAGGTAGCAAACTCTTGATGGGGTGGAGAGAGTGCTTTGTAATTACTTCTCCTGTTCTAGCAGTGATCAGTTTACTCATAACTTTCATTTTTGTATCTCCTCTCATGCGTTTGTGGAGGAAAAGTTTCTTCTATCACTTAAAAACAAAATGTATGCGAGTATGTTTCCTGTAAAGGAAACAAATCTACTTCCCTATGGTATTCAGAGAGTCTCAGATGAGGCTGTTGCAGGTCTTCACTTTTTTCCTTTCCACACCAGCAGTCAGCTGGTTTCTTTAGAGCAGTCAGAATGCTTGAAACACTTGTCAAAGTGTTTTTCCATAATCCATAGAAGACAAGGAGCTGCTTTAACCCCAGTCCTTCTGACTGCAGCCAAGCTCACTCTGTGGAGCCATAAGGAATTCATTAACTTATGGAGCAGGTCCTATATGTTAGTATAGTATATATAGTATAACCAGCCTATATGTTAGTATTTATATTCAAGAAGGTCCAATATTCAAGAATATGCCAAAAACCTACCTAGTGGGATCTGCATGTGACCTGTTGAGAAATGAATTGCATCTGTTCATTTATGCCCTATGGGGCAGATACCTGTCACTGTGTTAAAATAAGCTGATAATCCACTGACAGAAGCATAGTACAGAGCCCTATGGCGTACAGTGTGACTGCTTTTCCTTTGAGGTCATTGGCCACCTGCAGCATGGGAGGAGTGGCTGACTGTAGAGGAAGACTAATTCCAGCAGTTCCTGGCCCAGGCTCATGTTCAAAACAAGTGTAAGAAATGCACAAAGCTGTAAATTTCCAGGAATATGGCATGTACTATCTCAAGCTGAGTTTGTCAGAACCAATGTTTTCATTTGATGATACTGGATACTCTCAGAAATTATTTAAGTTCTCAGCAGGAGGCAGAGAGAAGGGGGATGAAGAGCGTCTGTGCTAGCTTCCTTTAGGTATGTATTTTCCTGAGTCTTAATCAGGTCATTTAAATAATGATCCTCTGTGTCTCCATTGACTGTACAGCATGTCTGAAGATGTCATGGGCACTTGGCAATGCTGGTGCCAGATATGAGGGAGCAGTGTTGTCCTGGTTTTATTTTATGCTTGTTCTGATTTTGTTCCTAAGCGACTCCTCAAATATATGGCTCTGCAACATTGTTATTCCATTTCTTACATATACACTGCTTTGACAAAAGGAAGCAACGTTTTAAAGTGAATGAGGTGACTGAAATAGTTCAGACTGCTGTAGGAAGCATGTCTCTGGGCTGCAGGGGCACAAGCAAAGCAGCCTTTTCCAGGATGGGGCTGCAGAGATGTATGGGCCCTGCTCTGTGGTGGTGGGACCACTTGGATGGTGTTTTCCTCTGGGATGTGCAAACATGAGGAGATTGCCACATGCAATCCCCAAGGCAAGGGGAAATGGGCAAAGTTGTATGCATTATCTGTCCCATCAGAAATGGGGATATATTGGAGTGAAAGTAATCTGCAGATGCTTGTAGCTTTCTGGAATTGGGAAGGATGGAAATAAGGCTTTTCTGTGGGGGAGAACGTGGCATTATCATATGCAGCCATGGTGGTGGTTAAGCAAGGAGAATGTGAGTGGCCCTGATTTAATTCTTTATTGTTTCTTGTGTATGAAGTCACTGGAGAGTTGGTGTACATCTGGGTAGAGTACAGAAAAGACTTCTTGCACAATTATTTTGGCAATAGCATTCCCTGGGGCAAAAGGGAGATGTCATTGACATGGCAATTTTGCCTGGTGCTGGGTACTGCCTGGCCCTGATGCTTGGTGTGCTTCTGGGGTAGGCTGGTGGGGCTGCTGGTGTCTGAGACAGAAGTGTAGGTCATCCACTGTATTTTAGTTCTTTGCTGCATTGTAAAATGTGAAGGGCATTAAATTATTGGAGTGGATAACTTACTCATACCTTTCACCTTACATCTATTGTGTGTGTGAGATTTAGAGTTTTTGTAATGCATCTCAGTAAGGTCTAAAATAAGAATCTGTCTGCAGGCTTGGCTTTGGGAATGTGGAACTCCTCATTTTTCTTTTTAGACACTTCATCAAATTCTGTATTTAGAAGAAAAATGTAGTTCTGCTTTGCAGGTTATAGCATCGTAAAGAAGTTTAACATATTGATGTAGTCACTGTGTTCAAGGCTGTTTTCTCTTTTCCAGAGGTGTTGTTAAAGTCGACATAAATCTGCAGAAGGTGGATATCGACCAGTGCTCGAGTGAGGGGTGGTTCTCAGGAACACACAGGTGTCATCTCAACAACTCTGAGGTACGTTTGTAGGGAACTGAGCTATGCTTCAGTTAAGTCTTTCCACTGTTAATTGTTTTTGTAGAAAAAATGCTATGATTTTAAAGACTTTGTGGTTTATAAGCTGCAAAGATCTTTTCATGCAAGATGCTGTGACTGAGTTTTAAAAATGCTTGCATTTCAGGAATATTGATACTAAGTAAAACAAGGTAAGTTATTGTACAGAAACATCAGCTTACAGGATAGTGAAATGATTTATGAAATTCTTCATCTGACTTGAACTATTTTACATTAAATGCCTATTTTCATTTTAAGTGTATTACTTTTGTCTGGCCAACCTTGTGGAGTACAGTAAAAGTAACTGAGATGCTTGGTTGTGTTCATTCAGAGTAGCTTGGTCTCTTTGAAAAATGGAACACGAATACCAGAATTGGATATCATAATTGTTCTTTAATAGAAATGTCAGTATTTTTACAGAGCTAATTAAATGTTTATGTCCGATTCCTTCCTGCTTCCCTTTTCTCCTCAGAGCCTGTGTCTGGCTCCCTCTGTCAATGTATCATATGATTGGCCAGACTAAATGATCTATGTATTCAATGAAACCTCAAAACAAAATAAATGCAGTGACTTTATTTGATTATTACATGTATCTCATAGATAGCAAAATTACACCTTTTGAAAATGTTACATGTACCTCATGTAGTTCTGCATTTTCAGGAAGCTTAATTAAAAAGCTGGAAGTCTTCTACCAGAAGCTAGGAGTTGTTTACCTAACTGGTCATTAAATGGTCATTTATCAAAACCAAATCTGAATTTAGGAAAAGAGTTCTATTTGAGGAATGCATCTGTTAACTTTGAGCATGAAAAACTCAGAATTATTGTAAATATCCTTCTTATCTTTCACTGGAATTCTTTTTTTCTTAAACTATATATGAAATAAGAACCAATAAGAGCCAAACTAAGTCTTAGTCTAGAGACTAAACTCAAATGGGATTTTTTTTGCTCTGTCAAATTTTGCCTTCTAAATTCAAGGGAACACAACACTTGTTCAATATCTCATATTTTTTCCTAGAAGAAAATGCAACTTCCTATGATATCTTGGTAAACCTTGCTTTTTAATATATGCTGCTTTCTCAAATGTACCTACATATTTTGACAAGTGCTCCTCCTTTTCCTAATGTCTTATGGATAGAAACCTCAGCAGGGGATTGAGATGGTAAATTGTATTTCTTCCTGCAACTAAGAAGAAAATTTGGGGTGGGGTGCATGTATGTGGCAGTTAAGGTTAAAGAACATGTAAGGAAAATGGAGATAATGGACAAGGATCAACAGCCAGTTCTAATGCCCTTTTGAAATGGTTCAAAGCCTGTGTTCTGTAAAGGGTTCTGAACAATGTTCTTTGTTCTTAAGCAAAACAGAATCTGCATATAAGCATACTAGAGGTAATTTCAAAATTACATTTCTCTTCAAAATCTAAATCTTTAAGTGTATATCCTGAGAGAAGAATAAGAAATCTGTTCTCTCTGAAATAATTGGTTGGAGGAGGGGAAATGCATCTTCCTATCATTACACATGAGAAGTGGAGTGTAATGTAGGAAACTGAGTGCAAAGGAAATTGTTCTAAAAATGACCTTCAGTATTATGGAAGATTAGAGTCCAGGTTGCTTCTATGATTTGAGCTTACTGTGTATTAGAAACTGATGTGGGTGGCATGGTCCATTGAGAGAGGGAAGGCCCCATCAGCTTTAATCCAGAATTCTGAGCTTCATTCTCCTGCTGAGAGCATGGTGGATGTTTCCTAGCTGCCTTGTGAAACAGTAAGTTTTTAAACATAAAATGCAAAGTGTACATTACAGGTCAGTTCTTCCAACATGGTCTTTGGGTTGATGTTACAAGGGATGTTTTGTTTTTCATACTGGAAAGATGCATGTTTTGTTTTAGTAACTGTACTGCAGTGCTGTAGTCCAAAAATGAATTCTTGTGATGCAAAAAGGAAATAAAGTATGTTCTCAGGCAGAAGTTCTGCTTCTGCTCCTTCTAAGCATGAAGATGAGTATCTTTAGCTGTTCCAACAGGCTTCACCAATTTTACTACCTAGATCTTGTTATAGTAACACAGCTTAGACATCTAACAGCTCCTAGATGTAGATACTTAAATGCAGATTCAGTCTTGAATCCCATTGTCTATCTACCAAAGTAGAGATATGTGGTGTTGCTCTTGAGAGCAGGAATTCTTTAATGAGTGATGCTGTATAAGTGGGATGAGCTAATGGTCACGGCTCAAGATGTTAATGACATGGATGGAGAAAAGTGCTACTGCATAAATGGCTTTTCAACTTATCTGTAGAACAGGAACCTCTTACCTGTTCTTGACTTTTATTAGTGCTAAATCACCAAGGGTCTCATGATGTACAGAAGATAATACCAACATCCCCCAAAATGTAGCTTGCCAGCTGGGAGTGCTTCTCCTTATTGTGTCTGAAGAGAAGACCTCAGTGACCCTGGAAATAGGGAGTTGCTAGGAACAGCCTAAGAAGAATCTTTCTTCTTTATCTCTGTGATCACCACTTCAGGAGGGGGCTTCTTACTTACAAATCTACACTGTGGAATAAGGGTATATCATGTAATTGTGTAGTAATGCTTTCCACCTAGCTTGATTTACATATTAACAAAATGTCATTCCCCCATCTTTTATTTTCTCTTTTGAGGAAAATACAGAAATACCTGCTGGTGTCAGAAGGATTTGTCCCCACTTACAAGGTCAGATTTGAGCAGAGTAAGGAAGGGAACAGCGATCTAAGTTGCTAGACCTTGCTGCTGCTTTTCAGTTTTGTTGAATGACTTAAGCATTCAGAGCTGCATTATCTTTCCACAGACTCTTTGGTAAGCCTTTGCCTTAGTGAAATTGCCATTTGTTGCTGGAAGTGTTTACTGCACTGTCAGGGTACCTATTCTATTTAATGACAGTGTCATTAAATCTAAGGCAGAAAGTTTTTTCAGAGATACAAGGAAAGGTCTCAGTTTTTCAGAGATACAAATCTGCTCTTCCCTGTCTAAAACTATAAACATACAGAGAAACATACGTGACAAAATACACAGGTAATTTGGGCTCTGTGGGGCTGCAGTGGATGAGTTTGGTATTACTTATAAGACTGGAAATAAGTGAAATGTGTTGGGCAGAGTACAAAATGTTGCAGGGTATTTTGAAATTAACAAGAGGGGGGAAAAAAGATAACTGATAACAAATACAAAGTGATTTCACTGTACAGGCAAGGCTGGCTGTAGGGGTGAGAAAGAATGCGGTTTTAGTGTTTGAAACATTTTAAATTTTTTTCTTTAAATATATTAGGTTATTTCCCCATAAATGCTGGCAGCAACTACTGGCGCTTTAAGTAATGACTTTAGAGTCCTTGTTCAGACACTGACAATAAAATCAAGGCAGGGAAATGTCTGAAGGAATCAGCTAGCATAGTGCATTGAGCTGGGCTGAACACTCCCAGCCAGCAGTATCAGTCTGAAAACTGCAGCGGCTTCCACACTGTTCACTATCTTTAATGAGATTGCCAACAGCTTGCACTGTGAGGCAGGCTCAGCTGACATCCCTTTGGGTTTCAACAGTATTCCACAAATGACAGCATGCAAAAATATCTAGAGGAAATGAGAGAGGCAGAGTAAATAAAAAGGCTGTGTTGCTGTCTGTGTATATCTGTTTGTAGGAAGATGCATGGGCCTTTTCTGAGTATTTATTCTATGCAAATGCACAAGGACTGAGAAAGGAAACATATGAGAAGTATGGTTCATTTCTTCCTCTTTAGGTAGTGTAAATATTGGGGCCCACTGCACCTTATTGCAGTGAACATAGTATTACACTCAACCAACTGAGAAAGATGGGGAAGGTTAAGGAGTTGGGAGAGGAAAAACAGCAGTGCTTTCTATGTTTTTCCAAACAGATGCTTTCTGGTGCCCTTATCAAACGGATAAAGGCTATTTCATGCACCTATGTTGTGTGATGGGTGGTTAGCATCCAGTTGTAGCCTGATGGGTCATGTTAAATGTCACTGTTTTTCTTAATATTTGCATGTCTTTTGTCCTGTCTACTGGGGAAAAAAAATGCAGTCAGAATGAGAAGAGCTTGAAAATAATGCTGTGTGTTGGTAATACATTCTTACAATGAGCAGAATTTACAAAATACAGTTAACTTTTAGTATGTAAGTAATCATCCTTGCAACAACAGATTGTATTCAAGTTATGGCAAGAGATATACCCTTATGTTCTCTGCCCTGATTTACATTTCCCCTTGAAAGAAAACAGGATCTTTAGTGATAGAGTATAATTACTAAATCAAATCTTAGGCTGAAAGAGAAAAATATAAGATAGGAAGGTGAACAGTTCTATTTAGCATGCAAACAAAGGAGGGAAAAAAACACACAAAAAAACTGAGCAATTCTAGATCCAAAAGCAGGAAGGTTCTGTCCGACTGATGGTTGTGCACACAACTCGGTGTATTTGAAGAACAGGTCATACACAAGCATTTAAGATGCTATTTTAAAAATAACTTTGCATTAGGTGTGTTCATGGGAAAGATCCATTCACAACAGTGTAGCAGACCTAATCTGGTATTCTTCCAGCTAAAAATATGCTAAATAAGGTAGGCATTTGTCAGAGCTTTCAGTGATAAACAAGGTGTTATGAAAACCAACTTCCAGTATAAAGAGCAGACAGGTTGCTTAGCTACGGCTATTGTAGCCTTTTCAGGAAAAAAAAAAATCCCTTAAATGATTCTGTTTACAGGAGTCAATCTCAATTTTCAGCATTTTCTTCTAAAGAAAGCTTTTGTAACATTTGCTTTCACTTAGTGCTAGCTTGAGCATTTAAATTCTTCCACGTTGGTTCTATTTGTTACTGCTTTTCTTTTCCCCAGAGTTAGAAAGTGGAAAAACCATAGATGACTGAGTGATGCTGTCTGATGAAGAAAAATAGCATGGATATGTTTCCTTTTGCAGGTGAAAGTGATCACAGATG